GGACAACAGAGTTGCTTCATGGAAGAAGAACCTCAGCTTAGCCTGTTTGTCGCGCTAGCACTGAGCTAATACATATAAGGCAATATAGCGCCAGTGCTAACGCTAAAGCTAACAGGCTAAGCTGAGGTTCTTCTTCCATGAAGCAACTCTGTTGTCCTCCATCTAATACAGTAAATAAAATGGCTCCGTCCGTGTTAAAATATATTTTTAAAAACTAAACAGCCTACAGTATTTTTACAGTCTTTATTTTACAGTCAAAATAAATGTTTATCAAATAAAGTCTAATGTTACAACTTATCAGGGATCCCTTTAAATATAACTTGCCTTGTGCTGTAGGAACCCTGGTTTAATACAAGAACACCCATTTTAACTTGTCAGCAGTTCGATTCTTTTATTCATGACTTTTATAACCTCTAAGGGGAACATGAGCCTCCCACTTGGTCTTGTTTTACACACATTGGGGTCCACACTCCATATTCTGGAACTTCTGCTCTAACTGTTGAATGCGTTTTTCCTCCAGGGGCTTCAGAAGGAGTGTGTTTCCCACGCGACAGGCTCAAACACTGAGGGGACTCCCTCTCACCCACAGACCCCCAACTCCACCGCTCACCCCAACAATCAGGTTGGACATTCCACGAATGCCCCGTCGCCATGGCAGCAGCCTCACAACCACCTCCCCTCGCCCCCCTCCCTCCCGCCCGCCTCTACCTCAGGTGGTGCCGGACCCGACGCGTCCACTACCAAAGATGGCAACGCCGCAGCCGCGTCCCTTGGGAACGGGGGCTCAGGCGACAAGACGCCGGCGCCGCCTCCTCCACCACCGCCATCCACCGACAGCAAACAGGCGCAGGTAGACGGGCTGGCCAATCACGTCTCTGGAGATGGCGACAAGGCGGCAGAAGGCGACGAGGCTCCGAGCCTTAGCGCAGACAATCCCAGGCTATCTGCCCTGCTGGCGGGGGGGAAGGGCCCAGAGGAGAGCGAGAGGCCGTCTGAGGAGACGACGTCCACAGAGTCCCAGAAGAAAGTCAACAACATCCACCCGGCCGCCCTGCCCTCGCTTCCACAAGAGCAGGGCGGCTCCGCCACCTCCACCGCCACGCCCTCGCCCAAATCCTCTGAAAACACCCAACTGGACGCCCGCAGCCCCCCCAGCACCACGCCCGCAACGCCCGCCATCAACGGAAACGGCAAGGGGGGCATCTCGGAGGACTCGCAAAGCCCACTGAAGGCTGAGCCGCCCTCCTCCTTCACCGGTCTGAAAGCCACGCCTCCACACAGACACAGCTCGTCATCATCCTCCTCCTCCATTTCCATCTACCCCAGCTCCACGGACGTCCTGAAGGCCTGCAGGTGAGTCTGAAACAGGCCACAGGTCACACCGCTGCTCAGAACAGTTTGATTATTAGACATTCAAGAAAAATAGAAAAATACAACATATTTTGCACAGTGTTCCCACGGGTCCTTGAAATCCTTGAAAGTTTGTGAATTTGAAAAGATGATTTCAGAGCCCTGGAAAGTTTGTGAAAACAGCCAGAAATTACACTTGTCCTTGAATGTCCTTGAATATTTTTGTGGGATTGAAGTTCTCTATTCATACAACTGATTTTTAACATATGTAAAAAAAAAACATAGCCTTAGATTTGTTGCGGTTAATAACTCAGGATTACGGTAAACTGACGTGGTTTTCAACAAATAACTTGAGCCATAGTCATAGTTTTACCCAATCAGATCAGAGTAGGGCGGCTCTTTCTTTCTGAGCCCAGGTGAAGCACCACAGCTCCTCCTGTCCTCACCGAGCAGCAGCGTCTGGACATGTTCACATCCCCTCCTCCCAAACTGAGCTGCTGAACCTCCCAGGACATAATTACATGTCCATGTATTGTRGATATRAATGTAGAGTAAACATTTAATCCACTTTCYTTCATTGATTCTGACTCAACAACTTCTATKTTGTTCGGTTTTTCCTTGAATTTACATGATATTAAACCTGTTTATTGGTAACATTCTGTGGTAGCAGGAGGTAATTGCCATTGCGCTTGGTTCCTGAATTTGAGGAAATATGTGCTGGAAAGTYCTTGAAAGGTCCTTGAATTTGATGGTGACCAAGGTGTGGGAACCCTGTATACAAAATCAACAAGAACACTTGCAGGAATTGGTTTCCTGTTCTTAAAAATGCCTCTTCTGAGCAGCATCAGTGTGATTTGTTTTGAACAGGACTCCCCCCAGTGGTGGAGAAGTGTAACTACAGAATCACAAACAAATAGTTATGTAACCATCAACAAYAGTGAAGGCCACTGGGCCGTGTTGTTGCCATGCAGATTCCACTCAGCTCAATAGACCTCTTTGTTTTTAACTCAGTGTCCTSTTAGATTCATCAGAGCACCGTTCCAATTTTGTAGTTAGAAATCCTTTGGAAAAACAGAGGATTGATTGATTTGTGCTGAAAACGCTTCTTGTGTTGCGAGCAGAAACCTGGGGAAGAACGGGCTGTCGAACAGCAGCATCCTCCTGGATAAGTGCCCTCCCCCCCGGCTGCCGCCCCCTCCCTCACCAGCCCTGCCCAAAGACAAACTGAACCCTCCCACACCCAGTATCTATGTAAGTAGTTCAGTTAGAGGATAAGCTTGAGGGGTTCACTATAAAACTCTGCAACCTTTCACATTTCTTCATTTTTATTTATCTTTTTAAAACCAGCTGGAAAACAAGAGGGATGCTTTTTTCCCACCACTGCACCAGTTCTGCACAAACCCCTCCAACCCTGTCACCGTCATCAGAGGCCTGGCCGGAGCGCTCAAACTCGGTCAGTAACCTGTTCGCGTTACTCTTCTGCCACATTGCTGTTTTTTTTTATTTTGTAATGAACTTTTTTTTTTCTCCCTCTCTGTTATCCAGACCTGGGTCTGTTCTCCACTAAGACGTTAGTAGAGGCTAACCCGGAGCACCCGGTGGAGGTCTGGACTCAGCTCTTGCAGCCCGCCGACGAGAACTGGGACCCAAGTGGCACGAAAAAAATGTGGCGCTGCGAGAGCACCCGTACTCACACCACCATCGCCAAATACGCCCAGTATCAGGCCGCATCCTTCCAGGAGTCCCTGAGGGTTTGTTACACTTTGCTTGTTTTAGTTTAAAAAGATTCCTAAAATATTTAAGGTTTTTTTGTGTGTGTGTGTGTGTGTGTTTATTTTGTGTGTTTGTTTTTTTAACTCTTGGTTTCGTTTCAGGAGGAGAATGAAAAGAAGGCACTGAAGGAGCCGTCAGACACGGAGCCAGCATCAGCAGAAAGGTAGCTGAGACGCATTTTGGATTTTAGACGTGTTTTCATAATGGTGCGTTCACACCGAACGCGATTTCAGCATCAGGAGCAGCAGGTTTACATACAAAGTCTATGGTG